AGTAACATAATTAGTTACTTTTTTATGGAGTAACGCAATATTGTAATGCATTACTTTTAAAAGTAACTTTCCCCAACACTGGGTAAGACTGATCAGGGTTGGAGTCTGAGGACCAGAGTTGAGAAACCCTGCTTCAGACAGTCGTCTACTCACAGTCTCTCCTCCTGAGCTGCAGTTGGCTTCTTCATTCCATCTATTGGGGCTGTTCGGACACCTTGAGTATTGGGACAGAATCTGGATTTAGGAGTCTGCAATTGCACCGCAGGCTTGGCCTGGCTGGACCCCTTAGTGGGCTGATGAAGCTCTCGGGATGCAGTTGTCGTCTGCGGCAGTACACAACTCTTGGTGCTTCGACCGAGTAGTTTGGTAGAAGCAGTGAGATTAGTTTGTTTAACAGCAGCAGACTGTTTATTTTTGATGATCACTGATCCTTCTCTATTTGCAGGTTTAGTTGAAGAGGCACTTGTTCTTGTTACTCTGTTTGTGACTGAGCTATTTGATTTAATTTTTATGGCATCAACTTTCGAAACAATGCACGGAATATCTTTTCTCTGGTTCACATCTGACCTGTTTGTCACTGAATTTGATTTCTGGTTTATGGGCTTATTGCTCTGAGAACTGCAGTTGCGCGTCCCAAGCTTTGGTACAGCATTTTGACTTCTGGGTTGCTGTGCAGGTTTTACCTGGGTTTTAGCAACACTGTTTGTCTGCATTTTTGTCTCAGTTGTGTTCATTGGTCTTCGACTCTTCAAATTGGCAACTGAGGTTGTTTTGATGCTTGTTTCTGTTAATTTCTTAGCCAAAGGCCTCATTGACTGAATATCTGTCTTAGCACGGCTCTGATCTGTGTGGCTTTGGGCTGAGATGCCACATCCAGACTGTGAAGGGTTTCTTGACATTTGTGTTTTATTTGCAGCATGGGAAGCTGGCGGAGCTTGATGGGCTTTGGGTTGGGCATTCTGAAGGCTTTGTGAATTAGTCCTCTTAGCGGCATTGAATGACCTGGATGTTTTCTCATCTTTGTGGGGTTTCCTTGGATTTTGAAGAGAGGCTGTTCTATTGCTCTCTGTCCTCAAAACACGAAGGCCTTCCCGGCAAGTATTCTGCAATTTACTGGAAGATTGTGTTTGGGCTTTGGCTAGTGAATTGATGCCAAGTTCTTTTTTTGAGGATGTGTTTTTATCAACCTCTGCCAATGTCTTCACTTTCTTTACTTCTTTAATATTTTTCCCATTGATGCCACAATTCTCCTTTCCATCACCTGTCTGAGAGAGAGAGAAAAAAGACCATCATTTCAACCTTCTACACTTTCAACACATTGAATAGTACAACATTTCAAAAAAATTATTTAACTTACAATGTTGTACTTCTGATTATTTTCAGCATATTTCTTTGTAACAGGCTTCTCCTTGAGATATGGTCTTGAGTAAAAAAACAACAACAGTTGTTTCAGGACATAAACACACTATGGTAGTAATACTGAAAATATGTTTGTTTTTTATGGTAAAAGTATAAATTTAACAAATGTTACAGACAGAAAGACCCTTCAAGACCACCTACTTTGGATTAGGTGCTTTCAGTCTTCCTTTTGCCGCAAGGTATTCTGCCAATTTCAGTTTGCGTAGCTCTGTAAATAAAAGAGAAAAAACATTTAAAAATCCATCATTGCATGCATTTAATAAATGTTATAGATGTGTGCTTCCCATATGTATATTTTGTCTAGTAACTTTCTTCACATATAATAATATATATCAATCCAATATTACCAGTCTTTTTTTTTAGGGGGATAAATAGCAGTGCAATATGTAAGACAATGTAGTCAAATGGTCCTTATCGCAAAACAAAACCATTTAAAGGGGTCATATGATGCGATTTCAATTTTTCCTTTCTCTTTGGAGTGTTACAAGCTCTTGGTGCATAAAGAAGATCCCTCAAGTTGCAAAGACTAAAGTCTCAAATCCAAAGAGATATTCTTTATAAAAGTTAAGACTAGTCCACGCCCTCCTAAAACATGCCCCCACATGTCTACGTCACTATGTGGGAAGATTTGCATAACGCCGCCCAAATGTTCACGCAAAGAAAGAAGGTGCAACTTTTATTCTCGCTGTAGTATTGTTGTTGCCGCCGCCGCCATGTTGTGAAGGCGCTGTGTGTTTTGTTGTGAAAGCGAAACTACTTTGGTTGGCCTTCCAAAAGAGGTCGAAGTCCAGCCCGGGGTCGTCACATGTGGTTGCCGCAAGCCCTCCGGATGCTCCTTCGTCAAATCCACCGGGCGTCGCTCACTGAAGCCGCTGTGTGTTTCAAGCGAAACTACTTTGTTTGGCCTTCCAAAAGAGGTCATAATGATTCTATAAAGTGGGGCAGTTCCAACTTTGCAAGGACAGTCTGGCGCTTCTGACTCACAGACTGCAAGTACGTTTTTTATATTTAAAGGATTTGCCACTGATGATTCAAACGCGAGTTTTGAGCAGTGTAGAGTAGCGCTTGTTGTTTGTCATTTCTCTGATCACAAATGCAGGCATGGTTTTATGTTTACACGGCGCAATACGCAACCCAAAGCGTAAAAACACAGTATAAGTCATTATAATCAGTAATTATGTCCCCACTGGATGCAACAAATGCCTCATTTGTAAAGGGTTTTATTGGTTTTGTCTGGTCATGCAGGGACACGGCATCACAATATGGTAAGGGGCGTAACATTTCCGTCTCACGCTTGAAGTATTCGGCCAATCACAACGCACTGGATCACAGCACACCTCGCTTTTCAGACCTATGAGCTTTGTAAAAATCGACGCGTTTCAGAAAGGCGGGGCATAGAGGAGAAACAATAATGTACATTATGTCGAAAATAATGTGTTTTTTTAACCTTAAACCGCATAAACACATTTCATTACATTACACCAAATACACAAAATAATGTTCTTTTTAGCAACATCATATGACCCCTTTAAGGTGATGCAAGACACCCGGATTACAGAACCGTTGCCATTTGAATGAAGTGAAGTGAACGAAGTCTCTTCATGAGCCGTTTTGATTATTTTAAAGCGTCCTGAAAAGAAGGTTTCGCAGTACTTGACGTTTAAGAGTCATCCATACTCCATCTACAACTGTTTTAAACACTAGCATTTAACATTAGCATAACTTTTTTTAATACTAGTAAAGGCAAGACGGGACATTATTTCAGCACCTGTGATATTTTTGACACTATTGTACCCTTATAAAGCCGTTTTCCTGAGGGAAATATGAGGAGACACCACCATTAACTTAATATAATTCATTTTTGAAGCAAAAACATACCTCTTTCATGGGCGCGCGCACACATAACACATTGCAGTGTTTTGAACAACTGATTTTCAAATCATTGTTAGATGATTTTCCCAAATAAAATCGTAACACAACTTACTGTAATTGACTGTCTAAAAATAAGCACCTGAATCAATAGAAACCGTAAGTATCTAACGTTAACAGCGTACATGGTACATAGGACTAGCCTGGTGTAACGTTAAACTTATAAGGGAGCGCTTTACCTATCTTAGATCGTTTAGATACGTCTTCGTCTGTCACTGTTTCCATCGCTTTATCCGATCATCCACATCAAATATTTAATTATGATAAATATAGCATCTATTTATAACTTCGTACACGAGTCTATTAGAACATACTGCTGCCTGCTAATGCATCATCCACATTCTCCACACAACTGTCGCTTGAATTTTGCAGGGAAACGCCTATCTCAATTCCTATTGGTTGGTTCAAAAAATGTAAAGCCCAACTATTGGTTGGTCAGTTTGGACGCTTCATATGATTTGATGATTCGTTATAAATGTAATTTCGGTACTTTCGCTTTTATGTGGCTTTATGTATTTGAGGTCTTTATATATTACATAATAATAATAGGATAAAGTTAGAAAATAACATGTAGTGACAATCTATGACATTAACCATGTTAATGGTTTTACAAAATATTTCAATGTAAGTTTTAATGAAGATTATAATATAACAATGAAATAGACATTATGACTATAATTAAAATGTATTATTATTATTATTTTAATAACTTAGGGGGGAATGTAGCATTGTATATTTTTGGCCCTCACCATACAGGTTTCTTATATTACATTTACATTTAGTCATTTAGCAGGCGCTTTTATCCAAAGTGACTTACAGATGAGATATAAGATATACTTACAAAAGATATTATTGTAATATTTTCTAACTGGCCCTGATCTCCCTGTTAAGCAGATGGAATTACCGACAGGAGAGAAGACACTGGAAATGCATTGTTTTCAAGTGTCAGTTAATGAGAGTCAGGTAAATTATTAATTTTAATTACTCAAATATTCCTGTCATGATCTTTCAGTCCATTCTCCATTGCATCCGTCACGTTTTTCAACCCACAAACATCCAGCTAAAAATTGTGTAACGGGTACAATTGTGTAATCTGGCACAAATAAATGCAACTGTAAAACATTTCCTGTGAACATCAATATTAGTCAGTAGATCTGCTGATGGTTTAATTCAGAACATCTGAATTGTTAAACTACATTCTCTAATATGCATCTAATTCATACGTACAGGAAATTATTCATATTAAGTTGAGATTACTTCCCTTTAGTCCATTTATACACCTACACTATCTGAGGGTTATTACAAAATACATCACCGACAATGATTACAAGAATATGGAACATATTACACTGATTAAATAAATAATTTAATAGCCAAACTAAGATCATCTTAAAGAAGACCTCTCCCAAAGCCCAAAATGACTTGGAAAAATACAGTATAAAAAGAATGAAGTTGTTACACCTAAAAGAAAAATCAGCAGTTTCCATAAAAGAAAAGAAAAAAGCGTTTTTCGTCCTTTAAATTTTCATGTATTTCTTGACCAATTTGAGAAGGACAAGATATAATTCGATTAACAGTTTGAATGAACAGGGAGTGTCTCCTTAAAAACTGAACAGCTGTCAACAGCCAAAAAATAGAAATACACAGTGCAGTTCTTGCTCCCCATTTTATAATATTCAAGAGATGCTACAGAGTAAAAGAGGCGTTTGTGTGTTGATATCTTCCTATCAATGTGTCTATGAGACACTTTTCACTTTGATTGTCCTTATCGGTTTCAAACATATTTGGTATAAAAGCAAAAGATGCACACAGTGGGGAAAAAAGGCAAAAAACATTGAAGTCACCTGCCATTTCCTAGCTTTAGGCATCTACAATTTGTAGTCTGTACCATGTCAACCTGCTTAGAAAACGCACAGCAATTTTAAGTCACAAAAACAAAGAAATAAAATCATTTTTAAAAAATATACAACCTCAATTTTAGGCTAAATAAATACAGCTTGAAAGAGTTAAATTCTTTTGGTTAGATTACCTCTGGTCCAATGGGAGCAACAGATACAGTTCAAGAGCTCTAATCACAAACATTTTGTGCAGAAAAGTGACTCCGTTTACAGTCGTACTACAACGACAAATGCTTGTTCTCTTTGGAGTAAAAAAAGTCAATGCAATGCATTCATTTTAAAAGGACAATTCTACACATACACAAACACTAAATCACATGAACACTGCCACAGACAACCAGCAGAATTATGTGACAAAAATGACAAGTGGATGCCATGTGTATCTTAGTATTTGGTGCATTTGACGACAGCATGCTTCACTTTTTTTTTTTTGATCACTTGTCGCATGGGTTCACGTAAATGAACGGGGAATTACTGAACATGCAGTTAGTATGTGAAGCTCAGCGTCTCCCTGAGTTGTTGCTTAGGCTGCAACGGCCAAATCGGACTCATGCGCTGTCATATGTACAAACACACACACTGGCATGTATATCTCTATCATAAACTCATCCCAATCTTCACTCACACACACAAATAAAATTTGGTACAATTATGAATTAGCTATGGACTAACACAAAATAAAAAGGCATCCGCAGTTCCCTACTTCACATGTCTGTGATCAACCTCAATAGAAAAATGACAAAAACATCTTTGTATATATAAATGTCTCTATTCACGCAGTCTATAAAATGCCCCAGTGTGTCTGTCTGAAACAGGGGCCTTTCTCAGTCCAGATACACTTTGGCTTCTCTGGGTCTTCGTCTTGCACAATGTGTTACACAATGTTTTCATTGGATGTCTCAGGAAACTGTTGCTTTTCATACACCCGCACTTTTATACTGGGAGCTGTAATAGTTGATGCTAAAAGGGGTCTGATTAAAAGTTCTGGGAAAAGTGCTTAATGTCCAATGGGAGTGTGGGATATGGGTAAATCGTGTGTGTGAGTGTGTCAAATGGCACTGTCGTTATGTGTGCTGTGGTTGGCTTGGCGAGCAGGCTGGATGTTCTGTTCGTTGAGGAGCGAGGTCGTCTCATCGGTGGCGTCTGCAAGCGAGATGATGTTTTCTGAAGACGGATGGGGAGCGGATGATATGCTGTTATCTACACGGCCGTGTCCGCTGTCTGGAGACTGTGGCGAGCTGTCCAGCCGAGACGCTATCAGACCGTTTTGATACTGAGAGCGTGTGATCTGGAAAAAGAAAGATGGAAACGTTGATCATGCGAGCTATTCAATATTTTTGGATGGATGAGAGAATAAATCTTATTTGTGATGCACTGAAATTATTAAAAGTTTTCATTTAGATGAAAAAGAGGTTTAATCAATTAAGTAATTAAGTTTCTTTAATAATCAACAGTAAAATTAAAGTACAATATCAAGTTTTTAATCATATGTGATCCTGGACCACAAAACCAGTCATAAGGGTCTTTTTTTTAATTGAAGCTGAATAAATAAGCTTTCCATTGATGTATAGTTTGTTAGGATTGGACAATATTATATATATATATTATATTATATATATATATATTTATGGTAGGAAATTTATAAAATATCTTCATGGAACATGATCTTTACTTAATATCCTAATGATTTTTGGCATAAAAGAAAAATCGATAACTTGGATCCATACAATGTTTTTTTGGCTATTGCTACAAATATACCCCAGTGACTTAAGACTGGTTTTGTGGTCCAGGGTCACATATTGTAAAATTAAAATGAACACAATTTTGATTTTGGTACCGACACCTTTACAGTCACAATTATTTTATAGAATTATGCAATAAGAAATGAAACCATTTTATAACAATATTAATTTTATTTTTATTAAAGTATTTGACAAAACGTTCAGGCAAACAAAAGGACATTAGACAAATAATAAACGCATAAAGAAGCCTAAGTTGTTAAATAAATTAACTCCGCCATGTAATTAATATGCTTGACAGAAACTGAAAAAAACGATGTGCCACTGACCATAGTGGCATGTGCCAATGGCTTCCATACATCAGACGCCATGTCACTTAATGTTAATACCGCTGCTGTCAGTACCTCTGTCAGAGTGAATGTTCGTGTCTGTGTTTGAGTGTCTACATAAACACCCCTGACCATTGCAAACTCCTATAATAGCATGCTTCTTCAGCGAGAGCCCATTATAAAACACTTGCCAGACATGCGACCATACTGAAATGTGCTCGTGCAAAAAGCTATCAGAGAGCGCACATACACGGTCTGTTTGTTTGCACATTAATAATAACGGACTCGCACTCAACTAATAATGTACAATTGCTTTATGCCACTGTAATCGTCTTTACCTCCATTACAATTGTCATCCATCTAAACTTTATTGGTGAGATACTGGTTTGGTTTATTCAGCCCATACAGACTAGTCTGGACTTCATATGTCTTAAGGAGCAGGTCATATGGGTTTTCGAAAAAATATATTTTTTGCAGTTTGTAACATAGCTATCCTTCAATGTAAACAGTCTGCAACGTTGATAATCAAAAAAGTGCATGATAACTAAAGATATTGTCTCTCAAAAGAAAGAGTCGACTCTGAACCGCCTTAACGGGTCGTCATATTTTCAAATCTTCTGCCTGTTACCTATATACGACACAAGGTAACACATTTGCATAATCCCCACCTGCCCGCGAAATACTGAAAAATCATTTTCGGCCGAATATTTCAGTGCATCACTAAAATATATCTTTACCTTCACAAACTGTAGGTCCGCCAGAGCTCGGACATTGAAGTCTGGCGTGTACTGTGGCAAGGGAGCACTGCTGAGCTGCGTGTTGCTGCCGCTGACGGACTGAGGTTCAGGACGATCCGTGTCGCTCAGAGACGCTGATCGGTTGAGCCCGCGAATGTGAGACGGCGAGCGGAATTCTGAAAAACACACATGGAAAAGGTGTGGGAGAGGAGGGTGAGTACATGATGACACATTTATCTGCAGGATATACAATGTCTTCAGGAGCCACTGTGCAAAATGCCATTTTTTTTTTTTTTTCTTTAAGAAATTAGTACTTTTAGCAAGGATGCATTAAGAGAATGTGGCACTGGAGTAATAGCTGCTGTAAATTCAGCTTTGCCTACACAGGAATAAATTATATTTAAAAATGTATTTAAAAAAGAAACCGGTTATTTTAAACCTTTCACAATATTACAGTTTTTACATTTTATTTTTGATCAAATAAATGGCATTGTAGAAATAAATAAATAGTACTTTGCAATATGATGAGTAAAGTTGCCATTAAAATAAAATAAAATAATGCAGCCAAGTGAGCAAACATGCTGTGGCAGGTAAGTTCATAGATATGTATGGGTAAGTTCATCCGAAAAAAATATTCTGTCCTGAAAGATTCATATGGTATTAATACAATCTTGTTTTTCTATTTCCCTACTGTTGAGGTCTGTAGAATTGTTTAATAATAATACTAATAATGATTATAAAAGGTGGCACAGTGACATACTAAATGGAGTGTCAAGACCAAAATAGTACACTAAAATTAATGTCTTTCATTTCCAGAAATTGTATAATCCAGACAAAAATGCACTCTCATAAAATGACAGTGTTCTCATCTGCTGAAACTATTGGGATGCATTTTTTAAAACTTCCTAATTTAGATCCTACTGGCAAATAAAAAAGGTCAATAGTGACCATGTTAAAAAAAAATGTGTTCCCTGCTTATTTATTCTTTACACATTTCTTAAGTCAAAGACCACACAAATCTGAGTCTGGTTTGTTTCAAGATCACATTCCTCTCTCTATCTTACTCTTTATATCTTCCAGCCAAGGCAAAAAAAGCTATCAAGAGCTGTAACATCTGCAGTGCATTAATGGTCATCAGATCAAATGTCACACAAACACACTTATCACTACAAGAGTTTAAATGGTAGTAGAGAGGTTCAAAGAAGAGAGTTAAAAGCGTAGTTCACCCAAAAAATGAATACAGGGCCCATAAAATATAAGATATGATTCATATTGACCACTTTTATGGCTTCACAGTCCCAGTTATCATTCTACTTAAATTCATCAAAAAAAAAAGTTATAAAACAAATGTAGAGACAATGCAGGAACATCAGCAGCAGTAGCAAAACACAAACTACCATTTAAAAGTTTGGTTTAGTCCGTAAGATTTCTTTTTAAAAGAAATTAGTATTATTATTATTTCAGCGGGCATGAATTGATTAAAAGAGGACATTTATAATATTGCAAAACATTTCTACTCATCATATACTTTCTATTCATCAAAGAATCCTGAAAAAAAATGATTTCCACAAAAAACATTAAAGCACAACTGTTTTCCACACTGACAATAATAAGAAATCAGCATATTAGAATGATTTCTGAAGAAGCACGTAACAATGAAAACTAGAGTAATAACAACTGCTGAAAATTCAGCTTTGCCATCACAGGAATAAATTACATTTTAAGATCAACTAGAAAGCAGTTATTTACAATTGTAACATTTCACAATATTACGGTTTTTACGGCATCTTTGCAAATAAATAAAGCCTTGAAGAGTAAGAGACTTATTTCAGAAACATTCAAATCTTACCAACCCCAAACTTTTGAACAACAGTGTTCATGTGTATTCTATTGCCCTACACCAACCTAAGTGTGTTTAGAGGCTATATATACAGTGGGTACGGAAAGTATTCAGACCCCCTTAAATTTTTCACTCTTTGTTATATTGCAGCCATTAGCTAAAATCATTTAAGTAAATTTTTTTCCCTCATTAATGTACACACAGCACCCCATATTAAGCACGTAACAATGAAAACTAGAGTAATAACAACTGCTGAAAATTCAGCTTTGCCATCACAGGAACAAATTACATTTTAAGATCAACTAGAAAGCAGTTATTTACAATTGTAACATTTCACAATATTACGTTTTTTACGGCATCTTTGCAAATAAATAAAGCCTTGAAGAGTAAGAGACTTATTTCAGAAACATTCAAATCTTACCAACCCCAAACTTTTGAACAACAGTGTTCATGTGTATAAAGTCAGGGTTTTGTGATGTAAGTGTGTTTAGAGGCTATATATACAGTGGGTACGGAAAGTATTCAGACCCCCTTAAATTTTTCAACACTACACAGTATAAATGTAAGATGGTATAGATTCAGATGTGAAGAATCAGCTGACAGAAGGATAAGGATAGAAGGTAGGCAGAAGTGCTGGATATCAGACAGACATGCTCCGCTCAGATCTCGCCATCTACTGGCACATTCTCAGTACAGCAGCTCATTTAGAAGAATGTCAAGCCCCAAAAAGCAAAATCACCATTACAGCAGTCTATATTTCTTGTGCATTACATTATCTTCTGAAGCCATATAACTTTACGTGAGGAATAGACCCAAATTCAATCTATTATTCGCTGAAAATGCACCAGTTCCTACATCTACTTAGTGCTTGTACATGTTCATCATATGGACTACTTTTATGGCGCTTTTTGTGGCTTGACAGAGTCTACTTTTACATTTACATAAGAGCAGCTTTTCTGAAAAGGTTTACATACAGGTTTGAAATGACATGAGGATGAGTAAATATTGACAGAGTTTTCACTTTTTGGTGAAATATTTCTTAAAGCGTGTTTAATTGTTAAGACTCTTGAGGATAGCAGGTGCATAAGAGGAATTTTTCAACTCCAGCTCTGTTAAATAATTCTAAAATGTGTTACGTTATTGACACCTGTGTACAAATATCTAATCTACTTTAGTGTAAGAGAAGGAGCAAAAGGCTGCTCCTTAAATAGCACTTGAGGGTTATTTCTGTGAAAACTATTGCTGTTAATCAGTCCGACCCTTCCCAGTGAGTGGTTAGAGAGCCCAGACATGCCGGCAGTTACCTGGGAAACGAGAGAAGAGAGAGCATCTCTTAAGAGACAGGTGACGAGGACGAGACACACTCACTGAGAGCGAGAGAGAAAGACAGAGATTGATGGGAAGGGTAAGATGTGGATGAGGGAAGAGGGAAGTACAGGTACAGGAAAAACACAAGGTGGAAGACATACACTACTACTGTTCAAAAGTTTAGGGTCAGTAGGCTTTTTTATTTTAAGAAAAAAAAATTTTTTCAGCAAGGATGCATTATATTGATCAATTGTGACAGTAAAACACTTACAATATATTGCTATTTCAAATAAATGCTGTTCTTTAGAGCTTTTTTATTCATCAAAGAATCCTGAAAAAAGTGTATCATGGTTTCTACAAAAATATTAAGCAGCACAACTGTTTTCAACATTGATAATAATAAGAAATTGCACAAAATCAGCATATTAGAATGATTTCTGAAGGATCATGTGACACTGAAGACTGGAATAATGATGCTGAAAATTCAGCTTTGTATCACAGGAATAAATGACATTTTAAAATATATTCAAATAGAAAACAGTTATTTGAAATTAAAATAATAAATCACAATATTACGGTTTTGCTATATTTTTGATCATACAAATGCAGCCTTGGTGAGCAGAAGAGATAATATGAATATAAAAAAATATAAATCTTACCAAGACCAAATCTTTGAACGGTAGTGTACAGTACATACATGAGCACAGATAGACAAACATAAACCGCAGCATGACATCTTTCATAAATAAAGGGATAATGGACCCAAAAATGGGAATTTGTTTACTCATTCTGATGATTTTCCAAACCGATATGACTTTCCTTCTTTTGTGGATTGCAAAAGGAGATGCTAGGCAAAACATTCCCGCTGCTCTTGTCAAAACAAGTCAGTTTGTGTGAGAATAAGTCAGAGATTCAAGTCTTTAAACACTGGAAATCTTCCTCTCCATCACAGCTCTCAAATCTCATACTCATATTTAAATATGCACATGAAGATGCATTACATCACGATTAATATCTATAATGCCAATTGCAACAGGTTGAAAAATATGTGGAAAACTTGAATATGTGAAAGTGTGAATGAGATATGAGAGCTACAGTAGAGCAGATTTCAAATGACTTCAATTTTGGTCTATTCATCACACAAAGCTATCGTAGGGCTTCAAAACACTTGCAATATTGCAAGAGTAGTATAAAAATAGTGTAAAATAGTATAGTATAGTATAAAATTATTTTATGATTTTTCTGCAAATCCTATTTACATTTTGCCTACAGTCTCGTTCTGTACCGCATTGAAAAGTCATACAAGTTTGGAAAGACATGAGGGTGAGCAAATTATGATACTTTCCATTAATGGGAGAACAATCCCTTTAAATGAACAAAGGACAATGGCATCCTCTAGCAGACGGCACTAGAGGGCAATGATCTACTGCTTTTCCAAAGCCCGATAAGGATAGATGGGTGGTCTGGAAAAGTCCTAATAACCCACATGAGGTAATTATAATTATGAGGGATTAGTGCTTTAAAGTGTTTTCCCATCTGTTGTTGAACCCTTTAATAATGTGGCATTTACCATAATGCACACACAGACTCACAAACAAGACCACCTACTGCTCATCCACATACACAAATCTGAAAGAAGAGTGTAGGATATGATCTTTAAATAGACTATCCTGACCTTAGTCACTTAATATATGAACCTACAGCTGTGAAGGGGATGGCAACACAATATGTAGTACTATATATATGTACGTGCATGTGTATTAGACTTTCATATAGAATCCCATTTTGAAGTTATTGAATCAAGCAGGATGAAATTAGTATTTGTATGTTGTATTTTGTGTGTGCTTGTTTCACCTAGTGTTGAACCGCCGAGAGCCCTGATTCCATAGAACGAGAAAGGTCCGGTCTCAAACTTCATATTCTCATTCCCAGCCTCCACCTCCACACGGCCCTGTGTACAAAGCAGCAAGGTTATTCTGGGTTCTATTTTTTTTATTTTTTTTATGAAGTCTCTTATGCTCAAAATAACTGTTTTCTATTTGAACATGTGACCCTGGACCACAAAACCAGTCATAAGGGTCAATTTTTCGAAATTGAGATTTATACATCATCTGAAAGCTGAATAAATAAGATTTCCATTGATGTATGGTTTGTTAGGAGAGGACAATATTTGACTGAGATACAAATATTTGAAAATCTGGAATCTGAGGGTGCAAAAAAATCTAAATATTGAGAAAATCACCATTAAAGTTGTCCAAATGATGTTCTTAGCAATGCATATTACAAGTTTTGATATATTTACGGTAGGAAATTTACAAAATATCTTCATGGAACATGATCTTTACTTAATATCCTAATGATTTTTGGCATTAAAGATAAATCAATAATTTTGACCCATACAATGTATTTTTGGCTATTGCTACAAATATACCCCAGCGACTTAAGACTGGTTTTGTGGTCCAGGGTCACATATTGTAAAATTAAAATGAACACAATTTTAAAATGTATTTTTCAGTGTCACCTGATCCTTCAGAAATCATTCTAATATGTTGATTTGGTGCACATGAATATTTCTGATAATTATCAATGTAGAAAACAGCTGTGCTGTCTAATATTTTTGTGGAAACCATAGGATAATACATTTTTTTTCAGGTTTCTCTGATTAATAAAGTTTAAAACAACAGCATTTATTTAAAATCAAAATCTTTTGTAACATCATAAAATGTCTTTACTGTCACTTTTAATATATCCTTACTTTAAAAAAATCCTTGCAATTTCTTAAAAAAATCGTACACGGACCACAAACTTTTGACAATATTGTACATGAAAATCTGATGATTTACTCATATTTTTCCAAACACATATGACATTTTATTTCTTTAAAGAAACATAAAAGAAGGAATTCTGCAAAAAGTTCAAAGTGCTTATCTCAATAATAATGATTGTGGCTGACAAGCTCCAAAAAATTATGAAAATCAAAGAACTTTAAAAAGTAATACAACCGTCTTCTGAAGCCACATGATGGCTTAATGTAAGAAACAGTCAAATTTAGTTCACTATTCAGTTCGATTGACAATTGACAGTTCTTTGCCACTGTATAGAAATAATCAGCTAGAACGTTCTTCAAACCATCTCCCTTTTTGTTTTTCATGAAAATAGGGTTTGAGTTTAAATAAATGATGCCAAATTCAAATTTTCGGGTGAACTAATACTTTAAATTAATTGGAGACAGAGCCATAAGCCTTTGCCAATCTGAATGGTGAACATTCCACACGACTAGTTTCCCAGACACAAGGAAAATTAGAGTAATTATTTTTCTGGAAGGTGAACAGACACATAAATGAACAAAGGAAAAAAGACTAGCAGTCAAATAGACCGAGAAGGCTCTGTGTGAATTAAAGCGATAGGAGTGTGTAAATGTGAGCTCTGGTCAAGAGGAATGTGAGAACTGTAGCACAGTAAATCCACTGAGACAATAATGACGCTCACACATGCACACATAAGCTCTAAGAGAGGGGGCCGAATACCACCGAGTGACTGATGTCCACACAATGAGGTGCACAATGCAGCATGATCACATTGTTGATACACACACACAGACAGTTGCCTTTGCAAGAATCAATGGAGTGAGACTGTTTGCAGGGAGGGGACTGCAACGGCTGCATGAATCCTGTTTTTCTGGAAAGATCAGATCAACAACATTTTACAAATACAGTATATGAACTGACCTTACCGAGAAAGACCTCCAGGACAAAAAGCATACACACACACACAAAATAAGAAACACAGAGAAGACATCTTTAAATAGACCATCCTGACCGTCCTTGTGCCACTTAATATACAAATCCATGGCTGCGAGGGGGGCAGAGTGTGTATGTGTGTGCTGGCAAAGGGAAAAGTTCACATTTGTCAATTATTGATGACCACCTTAAGACGTCAACAACAAAGAATCTTGCATACCTAGTTCTTACAAACATGCGTAAACACACATTTAGCTAAATGAGGACTAAAGAATTCAACTGTTTTCAAATAAAGCCAATTATTTGCATTATAATAAATAATAACAGTAACAATAATAATCATAATAATAAAATAATTGACTTCTATCGTTTAAAGACGACAATTTTGGCATAATAATAATAATAATAAAACATTGATTTCTTGTGTTTTTAAATAAAGCCAATGTTTTTTTTTTATAAAAAATTCTAAAAATATAAAACATTGACTTCTACTGTATTTACATAAAGCCAGGTTTTGCATTTTAAATAATAATAATAATAATAATAATTTGAAGATAATGATGATAATAATAATACAAAAACATCACCTTCTATTTTAACTGAAGCCAATTCTTGCATTTTAATTTCTTTAGTTTTTAGGTAAAGCAAATTTTTTCTAATAAGTAATAATAAAAATCACAATACCATAATACAAATTTTTAATTTTAATAATAATAATACAAAACCATAAAAAGTCAATTACTGCATTATTATTATTGTGAAACACTGACTTCTCTATTGTATGTGTGTGTGTGTGTGTGTGTGTGTATGAGTCCAGGTCGGGTCCCAATCTATTACTTCGGGTCCCAATCTATTACTTCGGGTCCCAGGTCTGTTTAACATTGTGTGTAATACCCGAGTCGATCGGATGTGATAATGGATACCATCATGAGTGATGTGAGTTGTTATTGATTTAAAAAAAAATAATATTATGAATGAACCGTCTTGTTATATCAAAAATTTTTGCTCAGACTCGGCTCAGAGAGCACAGAGATGATAGCAAATAAGTAAAGCTAACGTCAGCAGCCATGGCACTGGACGAGCAATCGTTATTATAATCCAAATGGGCAAAGAGTCTAAATTATTATGCAAGTTGACTCGAGATACAAAAAATGCAAAACTGCAAAGTCGCATTTGTCATCCGTCACCGTGACAGCAAGTGGACTTTTGAAACTGGAATAATGAGTGGATTACGCATTTCAATTGGCAAGAGAGGAATAACACGGATGGAACTTTCTTGGCAAGGAGGATTGTGTGCATCACAGTCAGGTACAAGGGAGAAGGCTTCTTACATTAGGTAAGACAAAAAGTTTAATTTTCGCAACTTGTTTATCGACTTGTTAATAGCAATTTGCTGTGGAATATGTGCCGATCGGGTCCAGTCGGGTCCAGTCGGGTCTGTGTCTTCCCGTCCGGGTTCGGGTCCATCTTTCAAATAATTGACGGTCCGCGTCGGTTCCGGGTAGTACATTTTTGAAATTTCTCGGTTCTGCACGGGCCTGGGTCCAACTTTCAAAATAATAGATGGGTCCGGGTCGGTTCAGTGTAGCACATTTACGGGTCTCTTCAGGTTCGGGTATTTTGGACCCGTGTAGACCTCTACTGTGACATACTGAAGCAGAGCATGATCCCCTCCCTTCGGAGACTGGGCCACAGGGCAGTATTCCAACATGATAACGACGTTATCATGTTATCCAAACACACCTCCAAGACGACCACTGCCTTGCTAAAGAAGCTGAGGGTAAAGGTGATGGATTGGCCAAGTATGGGCATCCTCAAACGGAAGGTGGAAGAGCGCAAGGTCTCTAACATCCACCAGCTCCGTGATGTCGTCATGGAGGAGTGGAAGAGGACTCCAGTGGCAACCTGTGAAGCTCTGGTGAACTCCATGCCCAAGAGGGTTAAGGCAGTGCTGGAAAATAATGGTGGCCACACAAAATATTGACACTTTGGGCCCAATTCGGACATTTTCACTTAGGGCTGTACTCACTTTTGTGGCCAGCGGTTTAGACATTAATGGCTGTGTGTTGAGTTATTTTGAGGGTACAGCAAATTTACACTGTTACAAAAATGTGAGGGGTGTACTCACTTCTGTGAGATACTGTATATATATATATATATATATATATGTGTGTGTGTACATATATATTTAAAGAAATCATTTTCTGAACAATAACAAAAAAGAAAGAAAAAAAGAACTTCCTGGACATCCCAATTGACATTGACAATTCTTTGCCACTGTATGCTTTCACTGTATAGAAATAATCAGCTAGAACGTTCTTCAAAACTTCTCCCTATTTGTTTTTCATGAAAATAGGGTTTGAGTTTGAATAAATCATGCCAAATCAATTACTGCAGTATTATTATTATTATTATTATTATGAAACATTAACTTCTCTATTGTGTGTGTGTGTGTGTACATATATATATATATATATACACACACACACAGTGGCATGCGAAAGTTTGGGAACCCCTTGCAGAATCTGTGAAAATGTGAGTAATTTTAACAAAATAAGAGAAATCATACAAAATGCATGTTATTTTTTATTTAGTACAAATAATAGATGGGTCCGGGTCGGTTCAGTGTAGCACATTTACGGGTCTCTTCAGGTTCGGGTATTTTGGACCCGTGTAGACCTCTACTGTGACATACTGAAGCAGAGCATGATCCCCTCCCTTCGGAGACTGGGCCACAGGGCAGTATTCCAACATGATAACGACGTTATCATGTTATCCAAACACACCTCCAAGACGACCACTGCCTTGCTAAAGAAGCTGAGGGTAAAGGTGATGGATTGGCCAAGTATGGGCATCCTCAAACGGAAGGTGGAAGAGCGCAAGGTCTCTAACATCCACCAGCTCCGTGATGTCGTCATGGAGGAGTGGAAGAGGACTCCAGTGGCAACCTGTGAAGCTCTGGTGAACTCCATGCCCAAGAGGGTTAAGGCAGTGCTGGAAAATAATGGTGGCCACACAAAATATTGACACTTTGGGCCCAATTCGGACATTTTCACTTAGGGCTGTACTCACTTTTGTGGCCAGCGGTTTAGACATTAATGGCTGTGTGTTGAGTTATTTTGAGGGTACAGCCTTGCAGAATCTGTGAAAATGTGAGTAATTTTAACAAAATAAGAGAAATCATACAAAATGCATGTTATTTTTTATTTAG